GGGGGGCGAGGGGCGAAAGGAGTGGGGAGAAGAGTTCCCTCCTGCCCCTGGAACTATGCAAAAACTAAGAATAAAGTTGTAACACACTGCTACTTAGAGTTACTTTAGTTTTAGCTTTTTTTTACTTTAGTTTTAGACCCGGGCTTTTGCAGTACTGGCGCCTGTTGCGCTAGGATGTGGGCGAAAGACCCTCCCTCCCCGTCTCCCTGGATCCGTCTATGTATCTGCATCTGGTGCGGACACCCATTAACAGTATCTACTTTTCGCGGAACTTCCGGGATAAACCTTCCGGGATAAGCCTTTCAGTTATTGCTCTATGGAAGATTGCATCTTCTGGCGCTTAGTATTCTATTTTTTCCTGCTCTCATTTTTATGTTTTTTTGCATACACTCAAAACGGACCGTGTAATGCTTGCCCTCCTCTCTGCTTCTGTAAGCCAAAACAATGAAAGCTAAGAAATTTTTCCATTGAATCACAATCTTCGTCGATTTTTTGGTTAGAGACGTGATATTAGCTTCTGATGTTTCTTTTTTTTCCAGAAATATGGCGTATGAAACTTACACAGTTTTGAATTTTTCTAGCCACTTTTGTCCTAAAATTCAGAAATCACAGCATTTTGGAGAGCAAGATTTTATACTCCTCTCAAAAAACAAGTTTTTTTTTTGAAGGTAGAAGAACGCTTACACTTGAAACGCCAGGAAATCATAGAACGTGCATATGCAGAGAGAGGAGCGGATTTGACGAAATCTGCAGGAAGGATTTTCTCGCAGCATCTGAAGCCGGATATTTCTACTCCCAAAAACTACTACACTCGTTTGATCAAAGCGCTAAAACAACGTCTAGATGGCACCGTTGACAATGATGCTTTCGAGGAGATCGTTAGGTGAGGGATTGTTTTGTTGCTCGGCTTTTCGTTTCAAAAATTTTGAAATACGAACTGCTTTTTACGCTCTCAAAGGTCATCTGAGGCGAAATTTTTATCGCTTTAAATTTTAGTCCGAAATTTCTGACGTATTCCAATGGAAAGTTTTAATAATAAGGAATAAAATAAACGGAACATAAGGGAAATGAGGGTTAGAAAATTCGAAAATTCGTGAAATTGGTATAATTGTAAGAAATGTTTCGGTCCATTAAGTCATATATTTTCATAAGTGTGACGTTCGGGCGGAGGCGGAATAATTACAAGCGGCAGCAGCCCCAAGCATACCTCCAAATTATGCGAAACCAACAGTTACAATAACAATTTCATTTTCAATCATCAAATTAAATATCACGGAGGGGGGAACTCGAGTCAGGAGACGGAACATTTGCATATTACAGGAAACCGAAGAGCAACTGGACAAGGCGAAGGGGGTTGAGCCTCCAACTTCGCTTCCTTGTTACTCGCTCCTTCTTCCTTTTGCAACATAATTCATATATACATTTCTTACCATTACCACAACTGCATCTCGTCAGTACGATGACAGTGGCAGTCGAAGTTAGTAGAAATTGAGATTAATTTTGTTGTGCAATGCATTTTACTAGTGAAAAGTGTTATAGAAGATGTGTAGTAATAATATAATGGGAAAAGTAGCATAACCTAACAAATGTCTAAATGAATGGTTGTGTAATAGCAAGGAATAAAATAAACAGAAGAGCCGAAAAAGAAGGTAAGGGAAATGGGGGTTAGAAAATTAGAAAATTTGTGGAATTATTATAATTGTAAGAAATTTTTCGGTCCATTAAGTCATATATTTTCATAAGTCATAAGTCATATATACATTTCTTACCATTACCACAACTGGACTTCGTCAGTACGATGATTGTGGCAGTTGAAGTTAGTAGAAATTGAGATTAATTTTGTTGTGCAATGCATTTTACTAGTGAAAAAGTGTTATAGAAGATGTGTAGTAATAATGTGGTGGGAGAAGTAACATAAGTAACAAACATATAAATGAGTGGTTGTTTCTATTCAAGGGCATTATTCGGAGCCAGTGCTTATCTCTCATTTACAATGGATGCAATTATCATGGTTATTATACGACAGCTGCAACATTTGGTATGCGAAGAAACCAATAAAACATGCATGGATTTATACCAAAAATACCGCTTTGTACGGCCAACTGGTATATATACGAGC